CACTCACGCGCAGTTGGCTGTTCATCACCAAACACACAATTGGCTTTCATCCATTTGAATGGACCGTTGGTCATAATCACAGCCTAAGACACGTGGGTTCATGGACGGCCATTTCACTGGATGAAGGCGTCAACGATGATAATTCAGTGATGCGAGTTGGTGGACTTAATGGTACAGCGGCAGCTGTTGCCACGGTTCGACCTATAGAAGACTATCTAATCGTAGAATTATCACCATTGGTACTCTTTATGACTACGCCTGGCTTAGGATTAGTGTCTGTTGATGAATGGACTGTACGTAGATCGTTTACACAGGTTGAGTCTTCAGGATTGAATTTATCCCACACACTCAAGGTCGTTGAAGGAGTTAGATACCTGAAGGTCATTTTCGTCCACGTTGGTCGGCCAAATCCAACTGCCGTTCCTTAACCGTTCGTTTGCACATTGGCTTCTACGTTTATCCTGCACCTATTCGCAACTTATCTTGATCCACATTGTTCGAAAATGTTGTGTTTCACCTCATTTTTCTTTCTGTCGCTGTTAAAATTAGTTATTTCGTTCGTTTCAAAAGTTTTCGCCACCAGGCCAGTTCATCCACTCCATTTTAACTGCTTCGTACGTTGCATTCATGCGTGGTTACTGCGTCTCAGTAGTTTTTTAGTTGTTTATAGGATAGCACTCTGTCGTATTTTTGGAAATTATGCACATAAACTGCTGTTTCCTGTTCACGTCTTGGTTGCCACTATTGTTGCTGGCTCAATCGGTCACTCAGTATGCAGAAATCTGAAAAAAAAACAATGTTTTTCATGTTCACGTTTATAGCATGCAACATTCTACGAGTCAGTCTCGTGAGGGGAGCACGATCAGAGTTAATATTAGCAAGGTCTTCCAAGAACATATTAAAACTGGTTTTAAGTTAAAATAGCTTTAAAGCTTTTCGAGAAGGTGAGTACACCATCAGTGTGTTTACTATCAGTTAACAAAATGCAGAGTGTTAACAGCATAGAGAAACACTTAAAATATTGTAAGATACTTAGACCTGTTGTGTTGTTGAGGATAACAATGTCATATAATGGGACCTAGACATTCACTCGCGGGACTGCACCCGTACTGCTTCATGTTAATGGAAATTTCAGGAGAAATTTATCTCCATTACTGGTGACCAAAACCATTGCATCATTAAGTAAACAGTGTCAGTGGGAATGGTCTAACAGATAGTAGATTGACAGTAGTAGAGCTGACTAGATTCGGTCCTCATAATCAACACAATCCATGTGCATAATAATAATATACACTGAATTAGTGCACTGAGTGTGACAGTGACGAAAATTGAGCAAGTTGTTGCCTTTTCCATTGCACTGCACTTGCAACAGTCATGAGAACATCCTACATTTGTTATCCCAGCAATCAACTAGGCAGACAACGGCACAATATTAATAAAGTAGAGACATTTCTTATACATTTCATCCACATAACCCATATTACACTGCACCATTCAGTGCAAATATATTTTAAATCCACTTAAAATAGCCTTTCAATTCACAATAATGCCTATCCGCGCACAGATATAGTTAAAGACACATCTACATGATAATTTATGTTCCCACAAAAGGTTCTGCTGGCATCTACACGTGATTTCCATACACTGATAGCATTCTTTCATCAAACAGTTGTGTTCTTCACATAAAAACAAGCTGCGTTGATATCCCAGGATGTCAGCTGTGTCAGGTGAGGTGTGAAGTCTTCATTGTAAGATACTATGCCGAAAGGTGCAGCTTTTACATAAAGCAGACAATTTGTGTAGATGATATTACCCCCACCCCAGTACTTCACCTTGCTCATTATAGCAATACTTTGATACAATCCGCCTGAAACACTAAAATTGCAACCAGTATGCTGAGAGTGTGCAGCAGCCAGATCGCGTGATGCGTACACCAACATGATTAGGCAGGAAATGAGAGTTCCAATCAATCCAGAAAACGTATGACACAATTTTATTAAAACCTACTGACAAAAAATTTACCGAGTGAAATTTCAAACAACGTGTAGGATAAGTGGAAGAGTCATCAGTACCCATATTTTCTACAACAGAATCAGCTTTCAACTCCACTTCACGTTCAAATTGTACAGAACCCTTATTTAACTCGGTAATTCTGTTCACCTCATCCTAATCAGCCAGTGACAAATGTTCGCCGTAATTATAATTACAAATATCCACTTTGTCATCGGTTGTATGATCGATTTCACTATTTGCAACCTCTTCAATAACGGTAGTAGATGAATTGAGAACTTCAACGTGAATCTCCCAAAGAGTTTTTACATCTTTAACTTGTTTGCTGATTTTTTGTTAAATTGTAGAATCAGAACTGAACTATGAGGCTGCAGCCTTTTTCTACACAGCCTGAGGCATCGTCTGTAGTACACCACTCAACGACAGCTCCCTCGCTGCAGCTAGAGGCCTCTTCTCTGCAAAAGAACTCCAATCAAAACTAGCAGGTCACTCGAACATTACAAGCAGTTTACCAGGATTTTATTGGTTGAGAAGTGAGTGATTAGGTATACACCACCTTCCTGATTCGCCCCGATTTATAACTCTCTTTACGTAACCAGTTTATGTTTATCAACGACATCCCTATATCTAATCCACAGATTTAACTCTATGACAAACTCCCTTTTCACTCAGACAAGTCGCTTAAAAACAAAGTCGCAGTTAAAAATCACTCCGTCAGTCATATGCTTCCACGGTAGACCTTTGGTGAAATGTCCATTCCCGAACAAGAAAGGCCATTCGGCCAAATGAACTATCTGCTCGTCTTCAACAGAAATTGAGGTATCCATGCTGCCATTATAAGGATGCTCCCTGCTTTACACAATGAAAATCATAATCTCCACATATGCATCATCATTTTTGACATGACATGATACGTGGGCTTTCATTACAAAACCTCTCACTGTTCAACCAAATGGCATCTTCTTTACACAAAGGTCTTCCTCAACCCCGTATCTCTCTTCTCTGACCTAGAGCGCTCCTGGTACATTGCATCCAACAAGTGGTCTCACTTTATGGTCGTAATTCTTGGGTTACGATGTATCACGTGGGTGATGTTTTCTGACGAACTCTTCACGTTCGGGTATCACAGCCTCACCAAGCTGCATGTGAGAATCAACATATGCGTTTCGTACCTGTATACTCGCTTCAGTTGTCAGGGATTCCAAGTGAAATGACGCGCGTGCACACGACAAGGCATTAGAATAGTCTGCAGTGTTCAGCACCGAGGGTTCTGTAGGTCCTTCGATACATAAATGGTTGGCTAACCAAGCTGCACCCAAAGTGACACCAAATCCATTATCCAAAAATGAATGCACGCCATGCACATGCTGAATGAGATCTAATGAGACGGTAACCCTTACTAAATGTGAAATTCACGGAGGCACAGAAGTTGTCAAAGGGTTTTCCGTTTCTGTTTATTCCGTTGACAGCCTCTCATCCTATGAAGAGTTCCCTTCTAGTATTTTCTGCTCTCAGTGTGTCATTTATATAGCTCATTAAGATTTTGGTGTTGCAAGTTTGCGACTCGTCCGTTACTGTTTTGTAGTTTTCTGTGAAATTCCGCCTCCTCTTATTTTTAGGCGTGAAGTACTGAATACTCACTGTAATTATCTTGGTGGATACTGGTCCTAACAGCCTAAGAGCCTTCGCAGCTATTAGTGACACAATGGCAGCCCTCACTTAGTGTGCTCGTGGTTGTCATCTGGGCGACTGCAGTAGGTTATAGTCTTCTAGTTTTTAATTTAGGGAGTTCTCTTTCATTCCACCTCTTCTTACATTTCTGGAAACTATTCACAATATCTAATCATTTCCCCTCCAGTCTGAGAAGCCTTGCTAGGCTTAAACACGATACGAACTTTCCATTTCGCCAAGCTAACTTTAGCTTTCATCGACAGCTAGATGATGATTAGGGTCTTTAGGAATTACGTAGAGAAAGAGAACGTGTGAATGTTGGTGAACTAAATGAACGGGATCGGCACACTTGACTAACAGAGCCCATAAATCTGCTTGAAACGTTATAAGGATTATTGCAATCCAGTATGGTAGCTTTCCACATTACTAGTATCTGCACATATTACACTTATTGAATGGAATGAATCCCTGATGTTACCCATCAATAATTGGAGGGAATGCTAAGATGCTGAACCCGCACTTCCATGTATTTGGTTAATTGAAGGAAGAATTACTAAGGAAGTGTTGAAGGATGTGCACAAAGCGTTCTTAGATGAGAGATATCAGTGGTTACACCAGACACACTAAATGGGATATCGTGCGACTCCCACAGTACTTAACCCTCTTAACTGGAGCTAAAATAAGTAGCCGACTAGTTGTCAAAAAATATGAAGAATACTACGGGATCAGAAACATACAGTCGTGAGAAACTAGCTAGGGTACGTGAAGGAACGGACTCAATGCCTGATATCATATCTCCGACTTAGCCAGTCGAATTAAATAGTGGTGTTCAGTACCCAGCGTTGAATTATCAAAGCTGCAGGCTAAACGTTTTGAGAAACTGCTGACTGCTGCAGGATGAAATAAAGTTTAATACATGCAATAGTTGAAATTAAAGTCTGTAAACGACTTGGGAGGCAGCATCAAATGTTTTCCTCTAGCAGGTGGTGAATTTGTCAGAAACCGACGCGTCGTTGTGTGATTTTTAATCAGCAGCTTACCTAACTTGAACTTACTTATCAAGTATCGAAATAAGGAGAGGAGACAACTTCAAATTGAAGATTTGTGTAGATTTCAGAAGAGTTTTGTCAAACTGTAGGCTATAATCGAGTGAGTTGTGGGCGGTGAAACTCTGTTTTATAATGAATAAGAGTGCAGGCTAAAGTGACTCCCTATCTTTGTCTGTCACAAGCCATTTAAAACAACTTCATGGATATGTGAGGTAATAGTTCAAGTTTCTAATATTTAGTTACGTCATTCAAGTTAATTTTTCGTAGTCCCGTTCTTACAGCAGTGCCCAGGAGGTGAGAATCGCATCAGCCAACAATTAGTTTAGAGAAAAACGGTAGGCCGTCTTACAGGGGTGCAATACTGACATTAAATCGCTCAACAGAAGGCGGGATTTTCGAGACTGGATTGAGCAGCCGGTTTTTCTGTAAATATTTGTTCGGAATTTTGAGAGTTAATCAGCTTAAGATATAATAATATTTCCACTAGCTTCTGGTAAGTACAACTAGTAACTGCATGTTAGGGTGGGCATATACCACCAGTAACTGGTAAATTACATTTTTGGCATTCCTGTTGTTTTTTGAAGTTGTGTACTTCACATTTCTCGGATACAAATTTCATAATTATGATTTATTATCTGCGGAAAGTATTAAGTGTTTTTTGCTCTGACTCAGGTTTTTTGGAGTTGTTAATATTCTGCTAACAGGTATTCTATGTTATGCTTCATATCAGGTCCAAAGTCTTTCCCCAAATTTGTAATTTTTCATCCATACTATGATGACTGTTATAACTCAGAGATGCACCATTAAAGCGGCAGTCGTTAGAAATGGAGCTATTTAGTGCTGGTGAGCCTAGTAGTGTCAATTCCTGTTGTCAGCTACGTATATTGTTAGTTGAGGATGAAGAGGTAAAATTCAGTATTTACTTCAGGAGTGCTCGTTATGCTCAGTTAAAGTGGATTGTTTTTGCCGTCACAATCTGAGTATAACTTCAGTATTTCAATTTGTCACACCATATGACACGGAAAAGTATTGGAAAAGAAAAAGAACTCAGAACCATAGTGAATCAAGGTGTACGGGATGGAGAATAATTAAATAGAGAATAGTGGAGACTTGATGGACCTAGAAGTCTACAAGGAATGGATGCATTTGGGTCGTTGGAAACGATTTTGCGGCATATCACGGACAGTTTCAAGCTATTGGGATTTAGCTTTTCGATAACCCCATCCAGAGAGTTTAATCATCTCTGCGTGGCTCAATCCAACAGACAAAGACCCGACAGATTGATCCCGTGTTTTATTTTTGACTGGCTCTTACTCACTCCCAACCTAATCCTATGTCAACTAACATTGCCCAACGGAAAAGATGGTGGCTTGACCAGTATAATATGAATCCCAGCCATTTCAGTCTATGTAGCTTCACAACCTGATTGATTGACTTTCCGCTGTGTGCTTAATCTTACATAACCGCATAATAAAACTTAACATGAGTTGTCGAACGCGAAAACCTATTTAGTTTTTCCATTTTCAGTGGCCCTGTCTCATAACCATAATGCGGGATAGACTGAACTGTCGTGGTCTAAACGTTCTTCGACTGTTAGGCGGATATTAGGAATAAGCCTGAGACCACGTAATTTGGAAAATGCCACACAAGCATTTTGCATCCGGGCTGAGAATTCGTCAGCAGTCAGTCGACTAGGGCCAAAGCATCCACTCAAATAATTGTAGTAGTCATCACGTACAAACACTTCACACCCTGTCTATAAACTTAGCTGGTGCATACCAGTCCTGTAGCATCACCTTACATTTGGTTGGAGCGGGTCTCATGTAAAGTTCCCGACTTTCGGTAATAATAGATTTCAGGATATTGTTTGTGGGAACTATTATCGTTTTCTGCTTGATAATCCGAACCTAGTTCGCATTATGTATATTCTGACGTCTGAAAGTAATATCAGGTTGTTATCGCGGGCAACCACAATCTTCACAATTAAGATAACCTATGGTTTACGACAAAACACATCATCCCTCACCACTAAAATTGTAATGCTTATTTATGGGATAGTGAGTTTAAGGTTTACTACAAGTTGTTTCTATCTACTAGTTTGGACAGAAGAATTGAATATATTTTTCTGCAGTATAAGTAGCTGTATTATGTGCAAAATTCGACAGCTTAATTTCGCCTACTAAACTTATTAGGTGTTGATATGTACATCAGATTTGATATTTTTTTTCTCTTTTTTAATTTAGGTCTTCAGAATGGTTTTACCACAATGATATTGATGGTCAGCTGTTATATTTGATCCCCGAAAGGATCATGACACCTTCGGTATGCACTCAGGCGAAACCTTCACTATCTGTTCGTACACGTGCTCTAACAAACAAATATCACACAAAGTTAGCAGGCAAACGTGCATTGTTATCTGCCTCCATCGATCAACGACTACGTCATCGAAACAGAAGTGTAGAAAGAAGTCATCTGAGGCGTTGTCACGTTTTCTTAAACAGTGATAACTGTCTGTCTGACGTCAAACCACCCATAGGAGAAAGTAGTCTTTGTGACCAATCTGTGATCAATTCAGCTCAAGATACCTCCTCATCTTCCGTTTCTTCTACTTCTTCGGGATCAAATGGGCGGTCTGTTTGTCGATGGAAAGATTGCGAGTGCTCTGACATTGAACGCACTCAGTTAGTTAACCATATTCAACAGATGCATGTGCTTCCACAGCTGTCCAGTCGACGTAGGCATTTTTGTTGCTTATGGCAAGATTGTCGGGTATTTGGACGACCCAGCGTCTCAGCTGCCTGGCTGGAACAACATATCCTTCATCACACAGATGCCAAAGGGAAACCGTTCAGGTGTATTTTCGATTCGTGTGTATTACGATTCTCTACGTCCACACTGTTAGAACGTCATGTTCAGCGAACACACATGCGCACTAACCGTAGTAAAAGTGATACTTTTAGTGAGTTGTCAATAACAGATAAGACTATCTGTCAGCCACAGTCAGACGTCAACATTTCTCAAAATTCAACAAAGCAGCAGACTTCATTAACGGTCAGAAAAAATTTACGCAGACGTAAGAAAGCGCGAACATACCGAGGTTTGTTTCTTTTACATACGTCTTACTTATATTCAGTATACCGGCATGTTATTTTAAAGTTTTAGTTGATGGATGGAAGTCAAACTCCCTATTCACAAATTACACAGTTGAGGTTGGAATCCAGTGTTTTCTCCTTTGGAAATCAAAATTATTCAGATGACAATATGTGATTAGCTTGATACCATAAATGGTACCGAAGAAAGCAAGCAATGTAGCCTTGCAGTAGCAGTAGTAGTATATGCAACCATACCGTGTAATTTGCAAATCAGTTTGATTTCATGTATTACCACTTACCTCAAGTGCTTAGCTGGATGAGCTCATTTGGCTCTGTGAACTGAGTTAATTCGGGTACACCGATAATAAGCTTGGCCCTAAACGTGGGGAACAAATCTCCAGAGTTTAGGTCACTTGATTTGGCTGGAAAGTACGATCGCTTGATGTGAGTGTTTTTCAGTTACTCGTATAATCCATTATTTACTATCATGCGGAAGTCAAAAGTCCCTGAAAGTAATTTTTAATTGATTGCTGTATTTATTTGTGCAACCGTTAATTTAAGACTTAATTTTTAAGAAACGTACAATCACTTAGATGGTTTCAGCCAGGTAAGTCTATTTAATTATTTTACTACTAACACTTGATTTGAGATGTCACAGTGGTCAGAAATAAGCCCTTCAATAATTCATGTAATTCACTTGCATTGGTTAATTTTATGAAATGCTGAAAGCGTCAGTTACAGGGGTTGGTTGATGTTTTTGCTTCAACACAACTAGACCTCAAGGGGCAAGCCATATTTAGGCACCAGTGTTTGCGTTCTACCGCTCATGTTAAATTGTATTATGTGGTGAGTAATATTAGAGTGTTACGTGACGAAAGTCGGTCATGTAGTGAAGCTACATAGACTGAGATGGTTAGGATTCATGTTATATAGGTCAAGTCACTATCTTTCCCGGCGAGCAATTTTAGCTGACATAAGATAAGGTTGTAAGAGAGTTAGGGTCGGTCAAACGAAACACACAACCCCCAAAAGACATGTACTTTGTGAGAGGGCTGGATTACCGCTCGGACGTTCAGAATTAAGCAGGTATTGTCTTAATGGGACACACTCCGATGCTTTGACTTGAAGTCTAGTCCACATAGCAATTAGGCAACGTCAGAAGCTATGTGTCTCGTGGTTTCTAGTGGCGCAAATACAATCCAATCTGTTTAGATTCTGAAGGCCATGTACATCACAGGTTTGCAATAATCAGGGTTTTCCAGCTTCCCCACCAACAGACAATTGCATTCTCCCTTTCACTTTTTTGAGGAACACCATCGCTGAGTGTAGGCAGTGAATAGGAATTACCTGGCAGAGGCTGTCAACACGTGGCCATATGAGGGCATTTCGAGTGGAAGACCGAAGTCTACCCACCCTCGACTGTACTAGGTCGTGTATGGGCGTCAAATCAAAACGAGGAATCAATCCATGAAGTCTTTGTTTGTTGTTTCAAGTTGCTTATTTACAAGTAGACACTTTTAACGTGTAGATATTGCATTCAAACTGAACTTTCATGAGATTCTTACTCCCAGGCATAAATTAAGATATTTCAGTGATTGCATATTTTTCTGTATGATAATATACGAGTAGGTTATTAGGGTTGTATTCTCTCTTAGGTTAGGTTATTGGCAACTGACCTTTACACGAATGTGTATATACAGTTATACAGTCATATGGTGACGGAGCAGCTATATGGATGTGCTTGTATTTGGCTGTAAACTACATTTTGTCTGCGAGGGTTCAAACTACCTGTGTGATCAAACTTCAGTAGTTAGCGAATAAGGTTACTGAGCAACAGACTCACAAAGAGTTGAACTGTTTCGCCTGTGGTCTGCAGCCTTAACTTTTTTCCAGCTGGTAACGAATATGTTTATATTACTTAACTGACATCTCACTTTCTAACAGTTTAAGAAAAAAAATTTTATTTCCAGAGATAAAACCTGTTTTCTCTTTTCCACATTGTAGTTCGCCGTGTTGATTTTTATGATCGTAGAAGTCAGATGCTTATAAAAAATAAATTGAGAATTTCCTATCTCCTTAACAAATACCTTACAACTGAGTGTGATAAAGAGCGGGCTGATATTTTACCTCTGGAATTGTGCAACTTACCGACTAGATTCTGTGAAAAGTTTGTAAAGCCCAGCCCACTCACTTCTGTTAATTCAACACAGCATCCGTCTAATAAGAAAGAATCTTCTATATCGCCATTACCAGAAGCTACTGAAGAAGTTCGCCAACACATATCAATGCTATTAACAACTCCTCATATAGTAAGTGTAATTTCTTCTGTTTAACACCTTATACACATCGTTGTTTATTATGTATATTCTATTAGATGAAGTTCCAGACAGAAATCAAAAAAATTCTTAACTTTTAACACCTATAAGCTAATAATTTAGTACTGAGACATGTTGTTTCTCATTAATAATAATGGCTGTATTCTGAACAATGTTTATATAAACTACAAAATTTTCAACGGAGTTTATTGTCTCATATTTTCTCTTCATCCACGATCTTCAAATAAAAGATTAATTCACCGACAATCGATCGTGTGACACGTTGCTATCTGACCTGAAGCGCAAACCAATCCATTATGATATCTCTTCTTTGTCTTCTTCGAAAATTTTACGGCATTCGGTTGAATGCCAATTCAGGAGTACACTTTTTGTGAAAGCAGGACACCACTGAGAAACGGTCATCTCATCTATTGGGATAAGCTGCCATCAAGAGTAGTACTTCTTCACATGTTTAGTAGAAATTTGCGAAACCTCAGGTTGATGAATGTGTTAAATACTCGCCAGAGTAAACAATACTGTAAGAGGTTATACTTTACTAAACTTGACTGAATAAGAGAAACTATATGCAATATATTGATGGAGGTTTCTGGCAGCTCAAGTTTTAAGCAGGCCACCTGTGTAATCTTCGTAGATTATAGTTTCTTAATTCTTTATTCCATTATAACAAAAACAAAGGTGCTAAGAAGAGCATTAAAAAGTCACTTGTCGCTAGGTCAGTGTGGAGAAATTGTTCAAAATAGTAAGCGGTATTTCTGAAAAAAGAAATAATAGTGTCGGGTCCCAGTGGCTTAATGGTCTATGAGCTTGCCTTGTAACTGGAAGGTCCCGGGTTCAAAACCCAGTGGGATGGGTGTGTACTGATGAAGAGTCCCAAACTAGGCTGACGAAACAGCTGTCTGACAGTACTCCCAGCTGTTTTTCCAATAGTTCTCTGATATATTTCAGCTCATGATGAAATCCGGTAACCAATCAAATCCTTGCAAACAAACACTTAAATTAGTGAAGTGTTGGATTGCAGTTCTGAACTATCTGGAGAAGTATAAACCACCTGCTTAACGTCCTCAGATGCTTAGAACTAATGTTTGGAAGTTGTTGGTTACTTGGCTCAAAATCGTTCTCAACGGCGCTCACGCATTCATTCTTTGTCGTCTTCCAGATCCATTGAATCCTCACAATACTTAGTGTAATCATGCTCTCTCCTGAGCAGTTCTGTTCATTATAGTTTTCCTACATATTATTATTATTATTATTATATCCTTTAATTCCTAGAGGAACATAGGGCTTCAGCCGTGCGTCTCCATTGAGTTCGATTCTCTGCTAGAGTCTTCACCTGGCTCCATGTCTGCCCACACGTTTTCATTTCCTCTTCACATGACCTCCTCCAAGTCACCCTTGCACTGACGACCAACTCGCCGCTTCCCTTTCGGGTTCCACTTGAGCAATGGCTTGTCTAGTGATGTCACTTGATGGTTTCCTCAGAGTATGGCCAATCCATCTCCATTTCTTTCTGCATATTTGTTTCACAATCGTTTCCTGGTTGGTTCGCTCCCAGAGATCTTTGTTGCCGATCTTTTCTGGCCATCTGATCTTGAGTATTGAGCGAAGACAGCTGTTGATGAAGGTCTGTAGTTTGTTTGAGATGCTTTTTATGACGCGCAGTGCAAGTCTGTGATCCGTATAGTGAGTAGCACTGACTTCACATTGGAGTTGAAAATCCGGATCTTATTTTTGATACTGAGTGTTGTTGACCTCCACACAGACTTGAGAGTAGTGAAAGCTTGTCTTGCTTTCCCGATTCTTGCTTTGATATCCTCGTCAGTTCCGCCTGTAGTTGAAACGATGCTTCCAGGTAGGTAGAGGAGGTTGTTTCTTTCAGGTTCCTCCCATTTATGCTGATCGTTGTCTGTTGTTGTTGTTCTTGTCCAGGAATCTTCATTACCTCTGTTTTCTCTATGTTCACCTGAAGTCCTATCTTTGATGCTTCTTCTGCCAACCTGTTGCTTTTCGCTTACATATCTTCCAGTTTGTGGGAAATCAGACATATATCATCGGCGAAGTCCAGATCCTTCAGGTTTTTTGTGTGAGTCCATTTTATACCTGTTTCCTCATTGCCCACTGTTTGTCGCATTATCCAATTTACTGCAATCAGGAAAATCATTGGCGATAGTAGACAGCCTTGTCTTACTCCTGTCCTCACTTCGAAGGATTCCGTTAGTTTCCCGTTGTGGATTACTTGGCATGCAGCATTGTCGTACAGCTGTTGGATGAGATGTATAATTATCAGTGGTACCCCATAGTAGCGTAGTAGTTTCCAAATCACCCCTCGATCGACGCTGTGCTATCGAAGGCCTTTTCAAAGTCGATGAAGTTGAGATAGACAGGTAACTGCCATTCCAAGCTTTGTTCAATGATGGTCCGTAATGTGACGATCTAATCAATACATGACTTGTTTCTCCTGAATCCAGCCTGTTCCGGTCGATGTTTTTCATCCAGGGCTTGTTTGATTGTCTCCATGATGATGCGGCTTAGTATTTTGCTTGGGATGGACAGGAGCGTAATTCCGCGCCAGTTCTTGCATTGACTTAGGTCTCCTTTCTTTGGTAGTTTGAATAAGTATCTTTTCTTCCAATCCTCGGGTACTTCACCTTCTTTCCACACCTTCTCCAGTAGTGGCGTCATCAAGTCCTCTGTTGTCTCTGGGTCTATTTTCAACGCTTCTGCTGGGATTCCATCTGGTCCTGCTGATTTTCCAGCTTTTAGCATCTTGATTGCCTTCAGGACTTCTGATTTCGTTGGGGGGGGGGCTGGTGTTCACTAGTAGCTCTGTCTCCATTGTTGCTATTGTTGGGCGCGATGTCGGTTTTGGTTTTATGAAGTGGGGCAAGTTGAACTGCCTCAATGTCGCTCAAAAGTTTAAATTCAAAATTCAGTTCATTTCATGTTTAAAAAATAACTCTCCATTTATTCATGTCGAACTCAAACTTAGTTCACTGTGTATGCACCACCAGCAGAAACTAACTACACAAAATAATAAGAAAATAGTCTAAGAGTAGAAGGAGTGAAATAGTTGAGGAGTAACAAACTGAATTGATTTTGATTTTGATTTACAGCTTGATTCCACACCGTATTTTCAGTACAAGTATGGAATTTTCAGCATGGATATCGGTAGCCCAAATTCAGGCCGACCATAGATATCGGGTGTGCGCCGGCAGGGGATCGAACCCCGGACCATGTGCATGGTCGGCGAGAGTCCTAACCACTGTGCCACCGACGCACAGTATTCATAAGGATTGTTGCTGACGAAAGCCCTTCAAAATGCCATTAATGACAGAATTAAAGGTAAATAGTAAGATTCAGTTACCCTAGTGATGATTGAGGATGATGATGATAATGATAGGCCGTTTGATGATCTCTCTCTATCTGGAATATTTTCCGTCGGATTTCCAAAATATTCGGAGGTGATTGCAGCGAGAGCTTTTTGTGTGGTAAAGGTGAAAAAGGACTTACAGTTAGTTTAGGCTGATACACGTTATGTATGTGACCGGGAACTGCTTTGTTCCCAAATGACTACCTAAATAACTTTGAACAAAACAAAAAGGAATAGGTTAACAGAGTAGACAAAAATCACTTCTCATTTTACGGCTTTTCTCCAGCTGCTTAAAGCCTCAAGCAATGATATAAGTTATTACAGATGTAAATATCTGACACACATTAAAAAAATTGTTTCGATTCATAGAGCATTTAATTATTCTTAGCATGGTGATGAACCAAAAGGTATGAAGAGGGGACAGTTAATCATTAAGCAGCCTAACTTTATTCATTCTGCAAATATATATTGGCTCCTGTATTGTTGAAACTAATCAAGGGAACTGATTGTGTGAAATACCCAAGTAACTTTCCGTTGCACTTAGACCCTCGACCTATGCATTCTTTTTTCTAGGTAGTATTACTACTATGTCTGTTGAGTGTTCACTTGATTAGAAACGTCATTATGCTGATTACTTACTTTACTTACTTTACTTCGGCTATCTCCTACGGAAGGATGAGCCGGCTTCATGAACATCTCGAATCATCGCTGCCCAGGCGCGGCGATCTGATGCAAGGTTTTGCGACAAGGTAAGAGAGTTCATGAAGTTTCATGGGAATTTGGTACGAGTGATGTCCCCAGAATCGCTGATTGTAGAGCTCATACTTTATTGTAGCCGTTGATATGGCCAATACGAGTTGAAGACATGAAAAGGTTGACTGTTTTTGATCATAGATGTCTACGATCTCTTTCTCACGTTAGGTGGTATAATAAGGTAAGTTATGTTGACGTCAGGCGTAGAGTGTTGGGCAAAGAGGGAAAATCACTCGAAGAGGCTATAAAGTTACATAGATTGAGATGGCTAGGTCACGTGCTGCGCATGCCTAACCATTGCCTCTCCTGACGGGCATTACTAGCTGATATAGGTGAAGGTTGGAGAAGAGCAAGTGGTGGCCAAACAAAAACATGGCATCAATCCATGAAATCCTTGACAGTTAAACTGAGTCAGGTAGGGAGATGCAGACTTCCGGGTTGGGGCCCTCGGGACTCTAAGAATCAATGGCTGCAGACAATAGGTGACATGGCTCAAAATCGTTGTCAATGGCGCAGATGTATTCAGTCTCTGTAATCTTTCATATTCCTTTCTACCATTACTCATTCTGTTTCACTCTTATACTTGTCAAAACTCTACTGATTCTCTTCACTCATTTTCTTGTCTTCCTTTTTGTGCTTTTTGGAACGTGGCAACTCGAACTGCTGCACTTCGGTGCCAAATTCTACGTTGAATCCAGACAGTATCCGCTGATAAATATTTACTGTGGCAATTTGTTGCCTACATCTTTTGATGTTATTGTTCAGACATTCTGTAGACAGCTCCTCATTTATTTTCTATCCAAAAAGATAATTTTGCCTTAGTTTAAGACTTGAAGAACCATTACCACTATTTATTATTTAAGAGCTGTATCTTCTCAAATGTTATTCTCTTTAGACACCCCACAAATACTCTTATTTTTTTAAAAAAACATCCCTATTCGATTGTAAGGTACCTGTCAGTCTTCACTACATTTTCGGCAATACAGGAACATGTTTTGTCCATTCTTTTGCCAGTATGAAGAAAAAAGCAACTATTTAAAAAAAATTCTAGCTGACAATTTGAGTTTCGTGAAATGCTAGTTTATTTCACTTCTTCACATAATATGCCATTTGTGTGAGTTTTCTTTTAGGCGACTAAATATTTAGTGATGTGCGTCGGTGGTATAGCAGTTAGGACGCTCGCCGACCATGCATATGGTCCGGGGTTCGATCCCTGGCCGACGCACTCCTTTACCTCGCTAAGCCAGAAATATTGCTGGTGAAGAGGAAAGATTGGGCATGAGGCTAGCAATCCCATCCTGTAAAATAAACACTGCTACAGAAACTTCAAGGCACTAGCTTGAAGCCCTATGTTCCACTGGGGAATGTGAAGGAAAAAGAAATATATTTAGTGATAATTTGGACTTCTGAGAGTCTAAGTAAGATGTGAATAAATAACCTACATTGATGTATTTCGATCTATTGTCGTATGCAACAGGCGGTGATAATGCAAGCGATGTAGCGAAAGCCGTCAGTAATCTGGAATGAACTAATGTTTTCACTGCTTGTTTTCCCAGTAATGTTGTACCCGTCGCATGGAACGATATCAAAATTATCCCGGTGCCTAAATCATGTACCGGTATAAATGTTAAATTTAGGACTGTGGCAATTACTTCTGCTTTTCTGAAATTAGTGGAAAAATTACTTCCACTCAAGCCTGGAAACGTTTAATGACTCTAAACAATTTGCGTGTAAACAGGGCAGATGTACTTTATATGCTGCTACTGTCTTCCATCGTGATATCTTTTCCTGTTTAGACAAAGGAGGCAATCATGTCCGATGTATCTTCCTTGACTACACATGCTGTTTTGATTCTCTACCCAGATGTCTTCTGTTGAATAAGCTTTCGGTGAAACAAACTGAGTCCTACGCTGTTAAGGGGTTGCATTATTATTTCTCTTACAGAATGCAGTATATTGTACGCAGAGACAAATCCTCCTGTGCCTTGCCTATCGGAGCACGTATCCCTCAAAATGCTTTTCTCTCTCCTTTTCTTTTTACTTTCTTCTTACATGACTTGTCTCCGTTAAATATGCTGATTCGCTGACTGTCTCGTTGCCAGTTACATCCCTATGTGACTGTTCCAGAATGGAAAGCTTTTTGTCGGACATCAGCCAGTGGTCTAAGCTAATTGGTCTTACGTTTAGTCGCTCCGATTGTCAGGTAGTTAACTTCACCTTCAGGCATAAACGTGATCTTCGCACACGAACTTGTTCGCTCACATGACGCTTGTAACATAGAGGGCACTGAAACATAAACAAAGTCAAGCATGGAATACCGTGGAATAGTTTTGTCCTCTAACGTTTGTTGGTCATCCCAAATTGTGTTGATTCCTAAGAAAGTATTCGGATCAACCTTCTACATTAAGAAGTTAAGACGAGCAGCTATCTCTCAACCTCTACCTTTACAGTGTGCTAACTCTTGCATCTAACCTACTTCACTAATATTGCTAAGGGCTGAGTGTAATCTGTAGTCATAATGTGTTAGTAAACACAAGTTAAGAGTGTATGTCGTTTCAACTGAACCTATCATTGTCAAGGGGCTGATACTGGTGAAGTTTATCATAAGGAGCAGAATCTGCGCGGTGTTTCATCAGATTTGTTGGCACTGACTGGGTACTTTTTTCAGATGATGAAATCAAGAGGCGTAAAAGAGCACTAATGAATCGGTAATACGTATCAACTGTCTATTCCAATTTGGGGATTTAGTACTTTAAAATCTAACGTAAGCTAGGCAGCCTTCCGGAGTGGAGCAGTATTGAGCTCAGGCGTCGGGTGCTAGGTAAGTAGGAGGGAAAATCAATCGACAAGGTTGTGCAGCAGTTACATCTATTGAATGAGATGGTTAGGATATGTGTTACGCATGCCTATTTATCTCCTTCCTCTTCGGGAAATGTTATCTGACATAGAATCAGTTTGGAAAAGAGCTAGTGGTGGTCAAACGAAAACATGGCTTCATCAGTTAGTCAAATTCAGCCACATAAGCAGGTGTAGACTGCCTGACTAGCTGTTTGGGGTCCTCGGGATGGTGAGAGCCAATGAAGTTTGGAGACAATTTGTGATATGGCTCAAAATCGTTCTCAATGATGGCGAAGATGCATTCACTCTTTGTCATTTGTCATACCCTGTAAAACTCAATTGTTCTTCTCCCATCTTACTATTCTTTTTCCCTCACACTTGCGTTTATTATGTATCTTTTGAAATTCTCTTTACTGTCTTCTCTTGCTGTGTGTGCTGCATGGAGGGAGGGCGAGTGGCAACTCGGACGGGTGTACATCTGTGCAGTGTTCTATGTTGAACCCAGTCAATTAGTCAGATCTTCGGGAATGATTGAATTTCTGATGAGAAACGGCTGAAGCGGTGGGTGAAATACTCACATTATGTTTATGAAAGGTGTTTGACTTTAGAAAAAGATTTAATTGTTAAACTCCATCGGTTGATTGAAGTCAGTGTGTACTGTAATCACACTAATTAATTTTTGTTCGTCTTTTTCTCTAGTTTGTCGGACAACGCTTATCTCAGGATGATCGGTATGAATACCTTATCCGTTGGGTCGATGGATATGGTAGCGGGTAAGATGAAGATTTTACTTGCGTTAATTTTATTTTCTTACAATTGTGGAGATTAAAAAGAAACTGTATGGTTTGTTTGTTTAATGTACATTTTTGAATTTATTATCTGTGTGTGTGTGTTTGGGGGGGGGGGGGTAAGTGTAATGTAATATCATTATAAAATGCCTGCCTTATCGTTTATGTGACATTCACTTAGTATTTTGATGTTAAGTTTGGTTAGTTGCCTGCTTCAGTATAAGTGATACTGTAACGGGAGACATACGAGAGACTTGGTGACGGGTTTTTTTAATTAAGGTAAAACACACCATATTTATACATTTTTAGTCACATTTAAGGTTGGGCTAGGTCATCATCGGATGATACACTGATCTGACTATTTGTTGATTTTCCGAAGGTTTAAACCCTGAGAGACGAAAAGTTGTTCGATGAGATTGTTTCCTGATCACAATGTAAACGGAATTCAGATTTGAAGAATAAACACTTCTGACAGTCTGTGTCTGTAATGCACTACTGGTAAATCTTGTCAGCAGCACACGCCACCAGCAGCTACCGGACAAAAAGCGTCGATCATAGTCAGCATTATGTATATACTACATATTCTGATTACCTCAAATAAATGATAAACCACCCTTATTCTAATTGTTCTGTTTGCCTGCGAGTCAATTGGTACGTCCTTTGCAAGAAATCAATTCGTCCCGCTGATTGTGGGTGTGTAACATCTATTAATTAACTATTACTGATTACGTCTGCTGAACTGTTGGTATTATAAAAGTATTTAGTGTGAAATCAGGTGAAAAGTGAATACTGGATGTGCTTTTTTCCCCAGTCGATTATCCTCAGTATTATTTTTATTTTATTATGTGGTTCCTCCTTTACGTTCCTAGGGGAACTTATGGCTTCAAGCTATAGCTTGGAAGTTTCGATAACAGTGGTGCTTATTTAATACTGGGTGGGGTTGCTAGCCGCATGACCAACCTTGCCTCTTTACAGGTTTTATTACGGGCGCTTAGCTGGATTTAGGAGTTCGTCAGCCGGGGATCGACTCCCGGACCATATATGGCGTGGTTGGGGAGAGTTCTACTGCCAAGCCACTGACGTACTCGCAGTATTATAGCAGTGAATAATATCGCCTCTACTTGATTGTGTTCATTTTAAAAGGAACAATGGTGTGTAGTATCACCCGATATGTATGAACATGAGCAATTGTTAATCGCCTTTGTAGATATTTCAATATAGACATAGTTCCATAAAATCAATCGAAAACACCGTGTAGATAAAGAACTTTTCTTCTACATTCTTCGATGATATACGCAAATAGACTAACGGAGACGTACCTCAATACTGGCCCAAGCACTCGACTTTCAGTCGATGGGTCCTGCTCTAATCACTCCAACCTGGCCGATAGGGGTAGTATCATCAACTCTGACACAAAAATTTATTAAAGATTCCGATCTGAAAATGACAAAAAATCGATTACTGGAAAAAGTTATTTTTATCGATGAGCTGCTCTTCATCAGGTTCTACAGATATGTATCCATTCATAATACTGTTGAAAGAATAATGTTTAAATAACATCAAATCAATCAATAGTATGAATTGATTTAAGTTCAATAGCATCTATAAGTGTGATAATGTGCATCAACATGCACTACACTGAATATCAGACAGATGAATTCATGAATTTATAGGCTCGACAGAAGTCCAGGGCAGGAATAGTCTCTGGCTGGACTTGTTTCTCTTGCACCCACCCACCCACACACACACAGAACGGGTTGTTTTTAGGTGAATCACAATAGCCTCTGTTGTTTTGGTAGAGTATTCGGAGCCTGGATGGTTTTGATGGTTTATTTGGTACCTTGCCTGTCTGAACGATATCGACAATATCGAGCTGTTGATGGTTTTCACTATACCTTTATTAAACCACACTGGTAGGTATTTCTGAGCGAGCATGAAAAATCAAGTGCTTAGAGTGACGGCCAATGTGACTGGCTCCACCCAAAGCGCAGTTGAATTGTCAGATACAAGAAGAAGAAATTCCTCTTTCAGTTGAGGATTCACTACTGGTCGTGTAGAACATGTGACTTGTGGTTTACCAGCATTAAAAGTTCTTTGATGAATAGATGTTCTTAGTTTGTTAGCAATTATTTCACTCGGTTGGTACGTCACTCTTGAATTGGAGTCGTATATATAAAGACTTGTTATTTACACACAGATAATAGTTCTTTTCTGCTTTCTTGGTCATGTGTTTCCTGATCAACTTTCAATGAAGGTGTCACATACAATCAACCCTAAATTGATCTTCAATTACGTCTTCTGAGCATATAGGTTTAACGCTGTAGGCGAGGGTCATTATTAAATTGCTTTTTTACTGGAGAGGAACAAAGCTATGAAGATGTGTGTATATTGCCCTGTCCATGTGCTATCCTATGCGAATTTCTCTTTATACTACTAACTGGTTTTCTTGTGATCAGAATATCTCTTTGTAGTCCTCCAAAATTCTGTCAGAAAGAATGATGAATGTCAGATAACAAATAAAACTCCACATTGTGAAACTAAGTTGATTTACTTTTCTATGTTTAGCAGCAATTTCATTCTCAAAAGGAGCTGTACAATCGCATTCATATGCATAAGTTTACATAAATACCCTTATTATTATTATTGTTTAATTCCACATTATAATTAAGGAAAGACTAAAGGTGATAATAATTCTCAACTTGATATGGAAGTTTGAGGGTGGGGATACAGATCACGAGGGGCATAGAAACAAAATTACACAGGATTAGAAAACAGGTGTGAATAGGATTAGCATGGAAACAAATGTGAAATACTCAAGTACTGGTTTTTGAACTGATGAGGAGTCTCAAACTAGGACGAAACAGCTTTCCAGCATTCCTAGTTTTCCCAATGGTTCTATAACTGATGTCAGCTCATGATGAAATCCTCCAAATGTGAAATAATAATATTTTATAACTGAAAATGGAAGGGAAAGGTGAAGAAGAAAATTAAGAGAATGAAAAAAAACGCAATCTAAGAAAACAGACTGAACTGGACCCATAGTAACTATAGAGGCTGGACTAGTTTCTTTTGAACGCATACAGTTCCGGCTTTTCGATGCATATGGCGAGGGCTTCTGCAGTATTATTGACGAGATGTCCCATTATGTCGCTTCCAATTGAACCGGCAGTGCATCCTCTTTGCAGCCATGCTGTAATGAGTAATGTTCTCTTACATGTTTTGACAGGCCATGCATATAATGAAATAACCGAAAAAGATAGTCATCTTTACAGAACTTCTCGTTCTTTTCTCTCTCTCACTCTGCTTTCCTAATGCGTATTTTCTACGATTTTCTAACTTTTTCCCCCTCATTTTAGTATCACTCCAACCACTTGGATTTCTGAAGCTGAATTACAGTTAGCAGCTCACTTGCAAAAACATTTGTAATTGGTGTGCAATACCTTTTTCATTGGCTGATGAATGGCTGCATTTTGCTGCGAAATATTATATATATATATATATATCGCAGCAAGAATATGGGCTTTCGATCTTGTCTGCCTCTGTACTCCTCACCTAAAATATTGGATTCAGCTGTGAAACAAAAAACTGTTTTTGTTTATCTTTTTTTTTAAATGTTTGACTTGATTTATGAATTTTTACTTGTTAGTGTTTATTATTTAATTTATTTATGTTACATTTGCTTTTTTTCTTGTTTTTTGTTTTGTTTTGTTTGTTTTGCTCAATTTATTTGACTACTTATCATTTGTTTTGCTTCACTTCCTCTCTCTATATATATTTACATATTATGCATATTCGTGATGTTAGGATTTTCTCAAAAATAGGCGTTCTTTAATTGGTTATTTATTTAGTTAGTTAGTTAATAAACAACGTTACGTAACATAATTCTCCTGACTTTTTGTTCACATCATTTATTCATATCAGGTGATTTGTGGGGATCGGGATCCGATTTGACTTGTTCGATTTCTTCGCGAACCAATATCAGGGAGTGTTTTGAATATCTGTCTCGTCTCCGATTTTGGGGGGGGGGGGACTCTTTAGTAGTGCTCCGATATCCATGACACTGTGCACTAGGGAGCGAACCTTAGGACCTTTAGGTTATACGAGACCAATGACCCGTGAATGCTAAATTCGTCAATTCGTACTATATATACCGCTACCCTCAAGCAATCAATACCACTGCGCGTCGGTGGCACAGTGGTTAGGACTCTCGCCGACCATGCACATGGTTCGGGGTTCGATCCCCTGCCGACACACACCTGATATCTATGGTCGGCCTGCAAAATTTGGGCTACCGATATCACATGCTGAAAATTCCATACCTGTACCAAATAATACGGTGTGGAATCAAGCTGTAGTAGAAAAAAAAAATTTGTATCCACTTCACCTTGACATAGTGCGCACAACTGGTTACGACTAGTCACTACAGACAAAGTTTCAGGAAATCCATCCAGTCAGTAGCCGTCAGTGAGCTGATGATCGATATTCAGATTAGGGTGTTAACATAAGGCAATAACTATTGGTAGTAAAATACAAAGATTACTGACTGACTGATTTTAATATGGAATTTCGCACAGAAGTGCATCAGTTTGAGTTGCAACACTCCCTCCATGTAGCATACAAAGGAAGATAAAAGAGAAAAAATGGATTCGGAGTAACGATAATAAGCAGAAATGTGAGGAAGAGAGAATAATAGCATGGTAAAACACTAGGGTTTTTGTGGAGATGGCAGTTTACAGAGAGTGGATGCGTCTGTTCCATTGAGTAGGATATTGAGCCATATCATCAATTATCTCCAGCCATTGGTTTTTAGCGTGCTGAAGACTCCAACCAAGTAGTCTACATCTCTCTACGTGGCTCAGACTAACGGTTAAAGATTTCATTGGTTGATGTCGTGTTGTCGTTTGACCATCACTATCTCTTTTCCAACCTGATTCTATGTCAGCTAACATTTCCTGTTGAGGAATGCGATGGCTAGACATGCGTAACATGTGTCCTAGTCATCTCAATCGACGTAACTGCTTCACAACCTCATCGATAGATTTCCCTTGACCTCGATATTACTCACCCTATTCTACCACCTAACACGGGGGATAGAACGGGGACATGTATGATGAACGACAGCTAGCCGGCTTTTCATGTCTTCCACTTTCGCCATAAAGAAGAATGGAGCGAACTGCTGAGCAGTAGACACGTCCTTTGATGGATAGTCGGATATAACGTTTACGCCAGAGATGATGCAAGTTGGGAAATGCCAAACGTAACTTTTGTATCCGTTCTGAGATTTCGTCAGCGATCATCAACCAGTTGAGGCCGGCTGATGCAACTCCCCAAATAAGTGAAGTGGTCAGCATGCTCAACCACTTCACAAAGAATTAAATACTCACACTACAAAACAACGTGCAATGTACTTCTATCTGTCAATGTGGTGGTCTTTTGGACGTGGGATGTTTTAATTCATGATTTCTTGGTTTTGTGCAGTTCTCTGGATATAAATGTCGAGAAAATATCTATTTTCGGTCCTTTCAAGATATTTATTTGTATGATTCTGTCTAAAGTATATTCTAACTGTCATCTCTACATGGCGTTGTGTATTTAATACGGGAATTAAGACACCTATCAAGGTGTGACTATACTCGGAGCACACTATATATGTAAATATTTCGTTACGTCGTTCTCGAGTATGTGCAAACGCAAGAATACTTAAGCGTCATGCTCTCAATCAGATTGACTCTTTGAATTAATGTGTTACTGAGTTGACAAAGAATACTGCAGAGAGATTCTACGCCATAGAAGAACTTCCAGACGATTTGAAACAGCCATTCTTGCAGTATGTGAATGGTAGTGTTAACAGAAGGAAAGGAAAGAAACGAACACAGCTTATTCTAAACCTAGGCAATCAGATGTCAGAAGCACGTTTTCCGACCAGTCCAGAACGCTTTGTCCACAATTTTTCTAGTGTGATCCTTGATGTGACGGATTTAGAAGTCTTGTCTCTTGGTCTTAAATTTCGTGATAGTAATATAAAATTCAATAAAATGGACATACAAGTTCAATCTAAAAACCTTTATGGTCAGACTGGAGACTTAATGTCTTCATCAGATTAGGAGGTCAACAGATTTAAGGCAACTTTGGTTGATTGTTGTTACAAGTACATGAATAGCAGAAGTAATACAAAGAGTATTTTAACCAAGAGGCTTTAAAGAAATTGAAAGCAAATGGGAATATAGTGATTACCAAACCTGACAAAGGCTCAGGAGTCGTTTTCGTGGATCAGTCTGATGACCTTATCAAAATGGAGACTTTACTAAGTGATGCATGTAAATTTCAGAAACTAAGATACAGCGGAGAGGACTGAGAAACAGTTGTCAGAGTCTTGAAAAAAGTTAAAAACAACAAGGCCATATTTCACCTGCCTTGTATGAAACACTAAAACCTGTAGGCACAGTGATACCCAGGTTGTACAGCTTACCGAAGATTCACAAAAATGGCTTGCCACTTAGACCAGTCCTCGATATGTCTAGCTCACCATACCATTCAACTGAGAAATGGCTGGTGGAACTTTTACAGCCGTTACATAATAAACTTGTGCGTAAAAGATAGTTTTGAGTTTGTAGAAAGAATTAGATGTGAGCGACATATATATGATATCCCTGGATGCATTTTCCTTATTTAACAATGTGCCTTTGATGTTGAAAATTGATTACACAAGTGATGAATTGATAAAGCAAGGTATAGAGATTGGAATTCCTGTGTCGTCCCTAAAGGAACTTCTTTTAAGGTGTACAATGAACGTTAATTTCCTGTTCAATAAAGAAGTGTATAGACAGTCAGATGGCGTTGCCGTAGGATTACCACTAGGCCCAATCCTGGCGAAACTAGAGAATGGTCCCCTTAAAGTTGTTATATATAATCTTGATCTCTATTGTCGATATGTTGATGATACATTTATAGTTGTTTAGAAAGAAAGTGATACTAAGGACATATTGGATAAATTCAATAAAGCACATCCCAGCATAAGCTTCAATAAGGAAGAAAAAAATGATATATGTGTAAAATGTGGGCGCTGTGGTAGTAAGTAATTCCACTCTAGTTTGCTTATTAGATGTGCCACACAGTGAAACAGTATTACTTACTGGATGACACAGTTTCGAACACAATTTATTGTTCATTATCATACCATCAATCATAACCACTTGACTTCAAAGCTTGAGTTTTATAGTTTTCTTTGTTCTCTCCTATTTGTCGTAGGGGTAGTAGAATTTTCCAGATATCTGGGACAGGTGTTGAATCATTCCTATTACACCTATTCTCTTCAGTTGATTCGGTAAGCAAAGCTTCCGTTATCAATCTCTCCCTCCACCCTGTTACATTAGATTTTAAAACTGCCATCTTATCCCATCCTATTGTATGGTTGTGTGTAACTGCATGTAGTGCTATAGCTGAACTATTCTCCAGACTTCTTATCTTATTGGGGTCAACTAATCTAGATTTTGCTAGGTTTTTATGCTCGGCTAGTCTGACTGCCCCTGTTCTACTACTTTGACCTATGTATTTGACCTGACAATCATTGCAGGCAGGGTATTAGATATACTAAATTGTTTTGTTTTAAGGGCTCTACAGGATCCTTTAACTGACAAAGATTGTTTCTAATTGAGTTTGTGGGTTTGAATGCCATTTTTATTCCTGCCTTGTTAAGAATTCTGCGTAAGGTTTCCGAGGTTCCTTCCTTGTATGGGATCACCAATATCTCCTGTCGTAGCAGATATCTTTATGGACAGCTGGGAAAATATTGCTCCTAATCCTACTCCAAAAATATGGTGGAGATATGTGGATGACACTTTCACTCACAGTATTAAAAACAGAACATATCTCTAGCTTCTTGGCGCATATAAACTCACTAGTAAAAGGAATAAAATTCACAGTTGAATCGGAAAATGAACAAGGAGAATTGGCTACGGTGTTAGACTGCAAAATAAAACGAATAAGAGAACGTATACTTCACACCAGCATTTATAAAAAAACCAACGCATTCTAGTAGATGTTTAGACTTTAATTCATCCCATCCGTTGTCTGTCTGTGAAGGCTGGCTTAGTTAAATGTCTAACAAACCGAGCAGTAGCACAAGAAAAGACATAAATGATGAAATAAAACACATAGAAGAAGCGTTGGTATCAAATAACTATCCTATAGAATTCATTAGGAAGATCAGAAAAAGTGAAAAGCAAAATAAAAATGGTAGGGAAACTAATAATTAAAACATAAATAAGAGAGAATATAAGGCATCTACTGTTCTACCATATGAGGAGGGGGACATCTGAGACTCTACGTAGGATTCGTAATAAAGCAGGAATCAGAGTGGCATTTAAACCCGAAATCTCACTCAATGACAGGCTCTGTCGGTTGACCCAATTAGACAAAATAATATAGTTTACAAAATACCTTGCAATGACTGTGAGTGAGGTAAACTACATAGGTCAAACTGGTAGGTCGGGGGTAGTCAGACTGTCGGAACATAAGAATTTAACTAAGGTAAGAAAGGTTGACCCCACCCGAGAAGACAAGTAATTTAGAAAAAAGCTCAGTACTGCTTTGCACTGCATGCATTAACACACAGTCACACAATATGGTGGGAGAGGGTTAAGATTCTAAAAAGTAATCTAGGTAGCTGGAGAGAGAGAGAGAGGTTGATTACTGACTGCTTGTTCATTGAGTCTACACCCAACACATGCAATAGGAATGACTCATCACTCATACCGGAAATATGGAAAATACTACTACTACCAACCAAATCAAGAGATGAAAAATAATGGAATTATGTAAACGAAGTAAGAAAACTGTGTGAGTAATGCCTTGATAAGATTATGAGCAATAAATTGTGCTCAAAACGTCATCAATAAATATTTTTATTATTTTATTATAGCTTGATT